CTTCTCCGCTCCCTGCCTGCGCTGGCAGATCACTGTTTCTGCCCTGGTGCTATCAAAGTCCTGGGTGGCACCAGCACGCGGAGGATGTGATGCCCCTCCTGCCCAAGGGGTGGGAAAAGCCCATTTTGGGCTGGGGAATGAAGAGTGGAGAGGGGGACAACCTTGCACTGATCATTTGGTGTTGGGGGGCTTCAACCACACCTGCCTGACCAGTCTTCTGGGATGACACAGGCTGGTGGGTAATCACATGCTTTTCTGGTCATACTGGGACAAACTGGTCTCATGGTCACAGTGCTTGCTGCATGATGAACTTGGGGAAAACTGGGGTCATGTTTTTGTGGCATCTACGAGATTTAAGAGCATCGTTGAGTTGCGGGGGGGCTCTCATGCTATGAAGGCTACAGGTGAGGTCCCAACTGCGTGTGCTCTCCCCTAAGGACAAAATCCTCCACACGGGAGAGGTGCTGAAGGAGAAGAAGGGGCGGCTGTGGTGGCAGCTGGCTTGCTGCAGGGCTACAGACTCACAGGAGCAGGGCAGTCTGGTGGAGAAGGTGTTCGTGGACTTGGCCACCAGCTGCCAGGCGGTGATCTGCTGCAGAGTGACTCCCAAGCAGAAAGCCCTCATTGTGCAGCTGGTGAAGAAGCACAAGAAGGCCATCACGCTGGCCATCGGGGATGGGGCCAATGATGTCAACATGATCAAAAGTGAGGCTCGGGGCAGGGGGGAGCGTGGGTTTTGGCTGGCGCATCCCACTGGTGGGGAGAAGTGGGGCCCCATCTGCCATCTCCACCACCTCACCCTCTCCTTTGCGGTGAGGAGCTGGGAGGGGAACCCCCAAACCAGTTCTCCACGTTGCTGTGCCGGGAGGAGAGTGAGAGGCACAGGACCAGGACCAGCCTGGGACAAGAGCAGGGTGGACCGCTTGCTTTGGCAGCGCGGATGAACCTTGAAGAAACTTCAAGCCCCAACCTGGGCAGCTGGCAGAGGTGTCCCTGCCCCTCTCCAGCAGCCCTGACATTGGGCTGTGCTCTTTGCACGCCCAGCCGTGCCTGGCGTGTCACTCCCGCAGCCGTGGCATGTGATGGAGGGGGCTTCTTCCCTTTGCTCATCACTCCTGGATTCACCCTCTGCCCATCAGCCTGGAGGCAATCCACAGGGAAATCAAGCACTGGGCTCTCTGAAAACCTCCTCACCTGCATTTCACACCCTCCTGTCCTCTACAGCTGCTGACATCGGGGTGGGCATCAGCGGGCTGGAGGGCATGCAAGCCGTGCAGTGCAGTGACTACGCCCTGGCGCAGTTCTCTTACCTCCAGCGCCTCCTGTTCATCCATGGCCGCTGGGCATATCTGCGCATCTGCAAGTTCCTCCGCTACTTCTTCTACAAGACCTTTGCTGGCCTCTTGGCCCAGGTCTGGTTCGCTTTCCACAGCGGATTCACGGCTCAGGTGAGGGATGCTGCCATTAGCAGGGGTCACATCCATCCCGTGGAGGTTTGCACACCAATACTGCAACCCCCTGCTGAGGACCTCATGCAGGTCTCATGCCTGGTACTGATGGGCATGTGTCCACATCACTGCCCTGGTGTCCTTTCTCCCTTGCCCTGGTATTGGGCTGTCCAGTTTTTTGGGGCTGCCTGGCTGAGATGCAACTGGTGATCTGCTTTTTAGCTGGCTGGATTGGGAAAAGCACCCTGGGGAGATTTGGGATGTGCTCGTGAGCTGCAGCTCGGTCTCAGACAGACGCAGGTTAAACCATTAAACTGGTTTCCTCCAAAATGGGAGCTTTTATCCCAAGGGCCATCAGTGTGACTTGACCACCACTGTGTGGCTCCAGCCCCCATCTCCACCTGCAGCACGGCCCCACAGCCCATGGATCACTGGGGGGGCTGATGCAGAGCCTGGGGCAAGCCCATGCAGATTTCCCCAGAGTCTGGATGCCCGTCTCTTGGACTCACCCCTGGTGCCTGGGCATCCTTTCTGAGTCTTTCCAAAGCACCACTGAGCTCACAGCTGCTTTCTTCTCCCTTCTAGCCTCTGTATGAGGGCTGGTTCCTTGCACTCTACAACATTTTCTACACCACCTACCCCGTGCTGTCCATGGGCCTTCTGGAGCAGGTATGGATTCACCAGGCTGCATCCAGCCCCTGTGCCTGGAGGCTGCATCCTCGGCGGGTGTGAATCAGCCTGGCAGTCGTTGCACCCCATCTGCATGGCTCTTTGTGCTGGGACACGGTACCAAGCAGCTCGATGGGCATCTGTAGGTCACCACTGGGCCTGGGGGTGCCTCTGTTCCCCATCACCCCAGAGCAAGCGTGTGGAGGGATTCACTGCAGCTCTCCTGAAGGCTGTGTTGGGTGGGGTGGCCCAATCCTGCTCCCCAGTCTGGGTGGGGAGGGTGATGCTTAGCCCCATCCTGGCAGGACGTGAGTGCCAAGAAGAGCCTGGAGTTCCCTGAGCTCTATGTGATTGGGCAGCAAGACGAGCTCTTCAACTACCGCGTTTTCGGCGTCACCCTCCTGCACGGGGTCAGCACCTCACTCGCCAGCTTCTACATCGCGTTCTGGGCCTTCGAGGACAGCGTCGGCAGCAAGGTTGTTGGCGATTACGAGTCCTTCGCTGTCACGGTGGCCACATCGGCGTTGCTGTCGGTCCTCATGGAGGTGAGCGCCACTTTGCCCTTCCCCATCCTGGCCCTGGGGGAGATATTCAGGCACCGCAGCCAGGCTCAGCCCTTGGCTCTCTGATGTGACCCCCAGCAGCTTTGTGGCTGAGGGATGATCTCCCTTGGGGCAGGGGAGGAATTAGGGATGAGTGGCTGTACAGAAGAGGGACCCCACAGCCTCTGTGTGCTCTCCCCTTGCCCCTGCAGATCATCCTGGACACCAAGTTCTGGACGGTGCTGTCCTTCCTGGTGGTCACAGCCAGCCTGCTGCTCTTCTGCCTCTTCTCCTTCCTGACCCAAAGCATCGATGCCTTCAGGATAGCCCCTGCTGTCTTCCGCTTCCCAGGTAAGATGCCCCATGGTCCTTCCCTTCCCTGAGCCAGGGGAGCCCAGCCTGGGCTTGGTGCTACGAGCTGTTTCCCACCTTCTGGATCATCTCTTCATCACCACTTCTCGATCTTGCTCTCTTGATTTTTGACTCCAATTTAGGTGCCATCTCCTCTTTAGACCCCTCAACACCTTTGTGGGGGCAGGCCTGTCCCCCGACAGTTGTTCCTTCTGTCCTCTCCACCTTCTCTACATCACCACTGACATCTTGCATTGACAGACGCCAGCTGGAATGCCCTGACTGACCCCTACGTCCTGCTCGTTGTCCTGCTGTCCCTGGTGGTGAACACCGTCCCCTCGCTCACCGTCCGCTTGTACTGCACCATCACGGGCAAAAACACCATCCAGCAAGTGAGGGCTGTGCCGGGGCTGGCACGGGGAGGGGTCTGCCTCCTGCTGGCATTGGTGTCCGGGGCTGGCCAGGGCACTGCTGGTGATGGGAAGGTTCCCCAGGGAAGCCACTGCCTGGGCTGTAGCGGTGGGACATCACCTCTCCTTGGTGGCACCACTCCACTGGTGATGGTCTCTCATGACATTGGTGTCCAAGTCTGGCTCCAGGGCCCTCTCCCCGAATCGGTTCATGGGCCAACAGGAGGCCCTGAGGCAAGAGACCTGCTCCAGCTCTTGGAGAGGGTCTGCTCTCGGCTGCAGTAAGGAACTGCCCTCCACGTCTCCCTGGAGCTGCCGCTTAGGAGGCACTGGGGTCTGGCGCAGGTCTTGGTACCACCCCGAGTTTTGGTAGAGCTCACCCCCATCTGGGTTGTGGGTCACACTTTGCCAGTGGTACAAAAGAGGCCCCAGATGAGAGCAGGGGTTGAGATTGTGCTCCAGAGCTCCGAGAGCTTTGAAGACTCCCATGAGGGTCCCCATGTTACACATCCCATCGCATCAACTCGGGTCATGGCAGAGCTGGGAGCCGAACTCTGCAGGGCGTCCTGCTCTCCCTGCGTGGTTCCCCTTGGGGTGAGGGCTTACCTGGGAGGTGGCCACAGCCCTGATTTCCCCGTCTCCTTGCAGAAGATCCGCCTGAAGGCCAAGCAGGAGCCGGAGCCCTCAGTGGAGCTGCGTGCCCATGTCCCTCGCAGCTCCTTCCACCGCCGCTCCAGCTACGCCTTCTCCCACCAGGAGGGCTACGCCGGCCTCATCACCCGCGGGGACAGCCTGCGCGCCGGGGGCACCCGCAGCGCCGCCCCGCGTCTCCTGCACCCAGAGACGGCCCCGGCTTTGTCCTCCCTCCCCAGCCCCTCGGCGTAGCTGTGCTGGCCAGCATCAACCTCCCACCATGCTGGGACAGGGGAGGTGCAGAACTGGCTGGTTTCCTCCTTTTATGGGCATTTTATTAATCTTACTTGGATGGTTTTGAAGTGTGGGCAGCCCCCAGGGCTGCAGAGGGCCTGGCCCAGCCTGGGGGGCTGCTGCTCCGGGCACTGAGCCTTGGGACGTGTCCCGCTAGCAGCTCCATCTCCCCCATGCAGTATGTGCGTGGGCTTTGCAGGAGCCTGTAAAGCTGTAAAAACCACCAACCTCTGCCGCCACGCTCAGCCCCTCGCCCACGACCAACCCCCTGCCCTCTGCTGAGCCCCCTCGGAGCCGGGGCTTCCTCCTGCCCAAGGCTGATCCTGCTCCAGGCTGGACCCACAAACACCAACTCTGCTGCCCCAGGCTCGTTATTCCACCTCGAAATTAATAAAATGCCCTGATACAAGACCAGTGGTGGAGCTGGGTGGCGGGTGCAGCCCCTCGCCCGTGCTCACTCCCACCTGCGCTGGGGGCCGAGCCGCAGTGGCTGCACAAAGCCCCTCATCTTGTTTCCCCACGGCTGCGAGGAGCGCAGGGCAGAGCCGGCTGCCCTCCCCACGCGAGGCTGGATCTGGCGCCCGTGGCTTTGCCATGCATCAACTCAACAGATCAGACTCAAGTGGCGTAATTTTAAAATGCCCTCTGTTTTCTGGAGGAGGACCTGTGTATGACTGATTACCTGCAGGTTTTTCTTCTCCAGCCAAACCAGCCTGGCTTCTTGCAGCTTCTCCTCATCGCTCCCCGCCATCTCCACCTCCTTGTCTTTGCCATCCCTGCACGAGGTGCACGCGGTGGTGGTGTCTGCTACGTGCCATGCCCCGTCTCCGCAGGAGCCACGTCCCACTCCCCCAGAACTGATGTCCCCAACTCTGGCGACAGCTTGTGGCCATGAGCTGTTTGCTGCAAAGCCCTGAAAAGTACTTTTGGGGTGGGAGGGCAAAGCATCGGGGTGACGCGCATCAGCTCTGCCGCCCAGAGGCCTGCAGAGCCGCGCTTGGGGGACATCAGCAGTGGCTGCTGGAGAAGTTGCGTGTAAACAACGGACTGGTGACCGGATCACCCTCTTCATTGTTTTTATTTTTTTAATTAAAAGGATTCTAGCTTTTCTTTCCTCTCCTGTAAATCTCTGCTACGCCACCAAGGGAGAAAGCTGCACAGAAAGGTCCTGTGGTCCCTCGGTGTGTGCCACCGGCTCTTTATCTGTGCCAGGGCGAAATGCACAGTCAGACAAGATATTCAGGTAAAAAGGTAAATAATTAAATCAGCCAGGGGGGCTTGGACCTGACTGCAGCACACATGACTTGATGGGTTTGTTTAACAAGTGCTTTGGCCTCATCTGCATTGAGTTTGTGAGAATTGAAGTGGTTTCTTTGGGCTCTGGCCAGAAGGGTGCTGGATGGTGCCAAGAAATCAAAGTATCCGAGGCTTCCTCCGGGAAAGCTCTCACCTCTGCAACTGCGAGGTGGAAAACCGGGGGGAGAAACCTTTTCCAGCTGCCTGGGTGGGATCCCCAAATCTCCCCCCCGATGCTCCCAGGCCAGGTCTAGGGAGAGAGGCTGAGATGGTTAAAATGGGGCTGCTCCTCCGAAGCGGCCTCCTCCTGCCCGAGCAGCTCCCGGGGCAGCGGAGCTGACCCACGAGCATCACCGCGGGACACACAGACACGCCAGGGTGAATGACTAGAAAATAATTTATTGAAGAAACAGAAAGCTGCAGAAATACAACACAGTCATGACCAGTAGAGGATGAACAAATAGAGATTAATTTCTTTTTCTTTTTTAAAACCTGTTGACAGGCTGGAGTTAAGTTTCCTGGTAACTTCCCCTGCGTGAGTCATTGCAAAGAACAAGGAACGAACTCCAGAGCACACAGCACAGTTTGGATAAAGTGCCTGACACATAAGACTCTTTTTTTTTTTTTTCTTTTTTCTTTTTTAACGTTTGTAAATAGCTTAAACAAATATAGTTGCAAGACACAGAGGAATAACAATTGCATTTTGCTGTAGAGTAAAACCTATCCCATGAGAGTAACAATGAAGCAGTGGCAAAAAAAAAAAAAAATCAATGTAATTAGAAGGAAAAAGTCATTTAAAAAGTGAGGGATGCGGCCCTCGGACCGTGCGGGATGAGGGCGGGCGTTGCCTATTGCTATACAGAAAAATGAGCAATGTTTTCTGGAGGTGGCTGGAGTGGCAAACCCGAGGCTGCGGGTTCTTCTGGCCGGGATGAATTCTGTCTGACTTCTTTTGTTCCTTTAGAAATTTAAGGGGAAAAAGAAAAAAAAAAAAACAACAAAACCCAAAACCCTGAATTTTGTTCTTTGCATTTTTGATTTCCTCTCTTTAAAAACCGCAAAGAAAGACGCAAGAGGAACCAGATTCTGCGTGGCAGCGTCTGCAGGTCCAGCCCCGTCGCCGGCTGCCAGCGCCGCCTCAGCGGTGGTGTCCTCTGAGACAAGGGAAAAGGAGCCGATTTAACGCTGGGGCCGCACAGTGGTCGTGAGGGCGGCCGGCCGGCGCGGTGCCAGCAGCCACCCCAGCCCAGCGGCATCTTCATGGTGCCCAGTGCGAGCTGGGGAGAGAGGTAACGAGGAGCCGCTCATCCTCCCCACCCAGACTTCGGCTGCTCAGGAAAAGGGATGACTGGTGATTTTTTTTTTTTTGCAAAGCCATTTCTTGGCACATAGAAACACCAGCTCCTGGCCGGCTCTGTGCCGATGTCCCGTCAGCAGAGCCCGGCTCTGGCTGTGCCATAACGGGGTGACAATGGCTGAAACCCAGCCGGGCGTCCCCGGGAGCCTGCGCTCCTCCTGCTCACCCGGCGGGACGGGGGCAACGCCGCCCCGCTGCTGACGGTGGGTCTTCAAAGCACAAAAGACATTGGTGGAAAACTTGCACCCAAGGTAGAACCAGAGCGCCTGGGGGACACCACGGGTAGTGAAATGACCCAAATCCCTGAAAACTTCCACAATTGAAGTAGGACACGGTGGCCAGGCTGAAGCAGCAGGGCTCAGTGGGAGATCCCGGGCCCCTTCCTCTTCCTCACCCTCCAACCGTCCACTCTCCATCACCCTCAGAGGTGCCCCCGGAGCCCTGGTTTTGCTCCTGCTCCCCACAGCACAAAAATGCCCTTCGGGGGCAACCCTGGTCGAGACAATTGTCTTTAGGACAGAGCTCAGATTGTCGCTACCTGCAGGGGAAAAAAAAAATCTTTGGTATCATGGCAAGTTGCTCCTCAAGGCATTTTGGTTGATGTGGGCAGCAGGCACGGTCAGATCCGGCATGGGACAGGGCTCAGCCTGCCCGCGGTTGATCCAGCAAGTCCCGCTGGGCTGAAGGACGGGGGAGGGCACTCGGCTCTTGGCTTCTCCGGGGTTTCCCAAGCCACTTGGTTCATGCCCTGTGATGGAAACCAGCTGGTCCCTGTAAGGACCAAGGACTTGCGACTGTGGGTTGCATCCAAGCCTGGTGAGATCTTCTTGTGGTTGGAAATGAGATCTTGGCCTCCACGCACCAAAGCTTCTCATGCTGGAAAGGGTCTTGTAGGAGGAAATGGGACATGGGGGGGATGCAGAGCTCCCCGGAGGACAGGAGGGTTGGTTAGTAGATGAATGGTGCTGCTGGAATAAACATCATCTCTTCCTCAAACCCAGGTCCTCGGTCAGTGGGTCCCATGTCTCCCATCACCACCTGGTACTCAGCATCTCAGTGCTGGCCACGAAGGCGGTGAAGGCTGCAGGGACATCTCATTAGACAAGAGATGCAGATTAAAAAAAAAACCCTACTTTGCTTTTGGGGGCCACTTTGGTGGGGCCTGAAGAAGCTGCGATCTCTTTCCTCACAGTGGGCTGAGCTTTGGGGCCACCTCTAGTGACGGAGGTGAAGGATGGAGTGGTGAAGAGGCTGAAGAGGGCTGAAGAATCAGCATTTTAAGGTAAATGCTCTGGTAATGGTGGGGAAGCAGAAAGAATTATGTACCCCTGCCTCCTCCGGGCCCCCATCACCTTCCTGACCTCCAAGACGAGACTCCTTACTGCTCCTCCCGTCTTTGAGCAAGGAGAGGAGGAGCAGGGGGAGGAAGGAGCAGGGGATGCAGCCCTGTTCAGGGGGGGCTCTCTGGACATTTGCAGAAAGCTCCTTGGCTGTCTAGGGCAGGCAGGGAGACCTTCCAAAGTCCCTTGAGACCTGCTGGTGGGCTGGGGTCCTCCAGGACCTCTTCCACTGGCTGGACTCTTCTTCTTCTTCTTTCCCTTTCAACCAGAGCGGGTGCCTCCGTGCAGGGCGAGAGCTGGGCTGGGTGGGACGGGGAAGCCTGGCGGGGCAGACACTGTGTGCTGGGTGGTGCCTCTGACCCAAACCACATCCTTGGGGAGAAAAACCTCAGAAACGGGTCGCTCTGGTCCATGCCTGGGTCCGGTTGGGCATTGATGCAGCACCATCTTCAGCGCCTCCTCCCATGCAGGGCAAGGGTAGAGGCAGGTCTGTGAGGTCACCCCAAGGGACAGGGACTTGAGAGCATCACCTGGAAAGGTCTCAGCCCCGGGGGAGGTTTGGGGTGCCCAGGGGCTGTTTCCCTTGTCTCAGAGCACACGAGGAGCCCCGCGGCTTTGCCAGCTCAGGTCATGGCAGCTGATTGTCTCACCTTCTCTCGTCTGCAGTTGGGATTTGACCCACAGAGCTGGATAAAGCAAAAAAAAAACCACCCCAAAAAACAAACCCAAAGCACGCTGAGGGGCCAGACCCCACGGCGGCAGGTGGGATGGGTGGGCGCACACGCCGGGGTCCCGTGCCCCAGATACCCTTACCCTGTTTGCCGGGCACGGGGCCATGTCGTGCGCCCCGTCCTCCCCGGGGGTCCTCTGAGCAGCCCCCGTGTCCCCGCGTCGCTGCCGCATGATTTTTCAGGGTGAGGAAAGGAAGAAAAAAGGCGAAGGAAGAAACCGAGGGGATAAACGATGACTCTCCCGTGGTTGCGTGAGTTGGAAAAAAAAAAAAAAAACGTGATCCATGCAGAGAAGTCCTCATCAACCAAAAACTCATGGACAAAAAAAGCACAGTTTGTCCCCTCCCGCTCCCACCCGACCACCCCTCCCCGAATAATTATTACATTACTTCAAGAAAGAGTATATTTTTTTCATGCATAAATCAAATTCTCATCTTGTCTTTTTTTTTTCTTTTTTTCGTCTTCTTTAAATTACATTTGAACACAGAACACATATAATAAATACTCTTGTACGACATGACTCGGAGAAAAGTAACACATCTGAACGCAAAGGTATCGTCATCATTATTAGTTTTTCTTTTTTTTCTTTTTTTTTTTTAAAAGGACTTGTTTAAATATGAAATCTGTAAACTCCAAGGGTCCTTTTTTTAATCTTTCTCTCTCTCTTTCTCTCTCTCTTTCTCTCTCTTTTTTTTTTAAATCGTGAAACTATCCAGCTTTCATTTCCTTAACATTCAATATGTCTCCCATTGAACGCGTCAAAGAAATAAGAACATGCCGTCTTCTGCAAAATTATAATTTAACAGTATAAAGCTTCAAGTCACAAATTCCAAAAACTATCTAAGTAATTTTTTTTTTTTATCACATAAACTATACATTAAATATTTTGAGGTATTTCAGAGAACATTGTCAAAGGCTTGTAAGGTCTGTGCTGGGTGGAAAAGAAGGCTTTCTCCTGCATAGAGAACGTCTTTGGTATCACAAGCCATGTGGGTATCGGGTAGAAGCGGGGTGGCGCGGCCACGGGGTCGGGCAAGATCTGGCCAAGGCAGTAGTGTGGAGGGGGGACGGGGAGGTGATGGGGTCGGGGGTGCTCTGACCTGCTCTGTCAGGTTGCCCAGAGGGATGGAGGACCCTGGAGGCCCGGCCGGGTTTGCTGTTGCCAGGGGGGTTGGCCCTGGGCAAGTTTGGTCCAACTCAAAAGGAGCCGCCTCGGCCAGAGCCTGAACCAAGTAGGTACAATTCAACCCAAGACTTCCCTAAACTAGAGATTCTGGAGATTGCTGTGGAAGAGCACCTTCTCCAGCGGGTCCTCCCATTGCCTTTTGCTAAAGCTCAGTGGTGGACCCGGCTGCACCTATCTCCCGCAACGAGCCAAAAATGCCCCTTTGGGGATGTTGAAACAGTTCCTGCCGAAAGATTTCACAGCTCCAAACCATTCCCTAAAGGAGGGGTTTGGAGAAAGCCCAAGATGAGGCTTTCCGCTACTCCTGCCTTCGTCCTTCCACACAGAAATGCCACGAGCCCTCCCTGCGCTACCAAAAAGGGAAACCGAAGCCCAAGTCTGAGCTGAGCAAAGAAACACCCCGTGATGAAACCCACGCCTTCACCTCGTGGGCTTCTGTAGGGTGCCAGCGCCGAGCTGGGGTGGCGAAGGACGGAGCAAAGCCTTTCCCCGGGAGCGATGCCCTGCAAGAAGGGACCCGGACACCAGGTCAGTGCTCCTGAGGCAAGAGGGGCTGGATGGAGGGACCCCGGGGCCACGCCAGGTTGGGGGACACGGGGACATCTGAGAGGGGGGACACGCCGGGGAACCAGCACCTTTCCCGCCGCGGGCGGCAAGGGGAATGCTTTCTCTTCAATTAGGACAAGGGTTGGGTTTCTTTCCTTCATCCCAACACCCAAAGACTACAAGAGTTGCCAGAATCCGTCCCTTTGGAGAGCTGAGGTAATAGTGAGTCTTTAGGATCAAAGCAGAGGAGCAAAGAAATGGCCACACACCTTTGGTACAAGAAAAAGGCACTCATCTACCACGCTGCCATCCCGGGGTCGCTCGCTCGCCTTCTCCCTCGCTCTCTGGGGACTCGA